CAGCCTTCTGGTTAGCAGTCAAGTGCCTTAGGCACTACGCTACCAGAGCTCATTATTGTAAGGTATAGAGTTTTATAATTGCCAATTACTTCAGTTTGGCTAATAGAAATTCAAAAGCTCTACTTCTCCAGATTTAAAAAAAAAAAAAAAAAAACCTCTAAGAAAGAATACATGTATTTAAAAAAGAATATATCTTACACTGCTTTTGGCGTCATTGTGCACACATCGACTGAACACTGGCAGCTGTCAATGTTATTGTCATAAGTTAATCCCAGATTAAGGCCAAGTAACTGCACAATAATAACAGCAAATGACTCCAAGGATAAACCCTCTGAATACTAAAAAAAAATAAAAAATAAACAGAAAAATAGTTAGCTAAGAATCATATTCAGTTATAAAATAAAAAAATAAATTTACTGTAATCAAAAATCAGTGAATAAAACTCATTTAAAAATTTATTAATTGATCCAAGATTTATTTGTGAGTACAACTGTAATAGAGTTATAAAATTTTTCAATGATAGACTTATTAAACATGGATGAGTAAACACAACAGTTATATTTCAAAATACAATTTACCTAATGCCAATACTATGTATCTTAATAAATCTAATAGAATTTTAAACACCATGTTTATTTAAAAGAGATGTTTATACTGCTTCTTTGAATTATTTTAAACAAAAGTCCTTTTATCTTTAAATATTCAATTCTACATTCCCTCTGTACTAATCATCCTCTAAAATGGATCCCATTGATCCCTGCCTATTGGTATATGTGCCCTTATGTAATGCCATTACCTTGAGGTTAGGTTGGCCTTATTGACATAGTTCTACTTAATACAATATGAAAAAGGAGTGATGGGCCATCATTTCCCAGATTAGGTTATAAAAGGACTGCTGCCATCTTGGATTCTCTCTCTCATTCTTCCTCAGTCTTGAATAGGCCAGATGCTATATCATGAGATAGACTTGTGGAGAGGCCCACATGAGCCAGCCTTAAACTAATTTTCTGAAATCTGTCACAACCACATGAGTGAGATTGGAAGCAGATCCTTCTCAAGTCAAGTTTTGAGATGACCATGGTCTTGGAAGAAACCTTGATCGTAGCCTTGTATGAAACCTTGAGTATGAACTACCCACTATATATCAAGCCACAACACTATATTGTTTACAGTTGCTAAGTTTTAAAGCAATTGGTTACACAGAAATAGATAACTAAACCATCCAGAAAAGGTAGTGTTGCTCTCCTTTATATCATTTCCAATTTCAATATTTTCTTTTAAATGCACTGCTCAGAAGACAATTGAAGAGTGTCATGTAAGTGAAAAAAAAAATAGCTATCTTTCTTGATTTACAAACAGTTTTTGAATTATCATTTTAATGTGAGGGAAAACCTGAAGAAGTTTGGAGTAATTCAACCTTTATATGTCTCAATTATTCACACATCATTACTTTGAACACTTAAGATTTCAGCAAAAGGTCAATTAATCCCTGACCACATGTTGAAATAATATGACCACATCCATTATACAAAAACACAGCAATGTCATAGAAGATAATTGATTGCCCCTATAAACTATTTTTAAATTGCTGGGAATGTAAAAAGGTAGTTGGCTCTGAAGCTCTAGGAGTGAGAAAGCAATGGCAGTGAGGGAACAGCAAATAAAGAGAAGCTCAGAAGAGAAGGCAGCCATGATCCAAGGAGTAGTTTTAAAATTTCCTATCCCATATATTTCCCTAGGTTTCATATTGTCCAACTATAGACATTGAGAGTTAGGAAAACAACATAACCCACCCAACAATAAGCAAGAGCACCACTTCAGTGCAACTTCAGAAGAGAGTTAGAATTTCATCTTCCAGCAGACTACTTGGATCCAATCTCTCTTCTCTAACGCCAGTTGTTGATTAAAATAGAGCAGAGTTGACAAATGGATTTAAGAAAGCTCAGATTTTTACCCAATATTGACAGATGACCTTTTTCATCTACTCTCTAGAAGAGGATTTAGCAAAAGTTCTCTTTAATTGGTATAAAATACCAGCCATACAAACTGATGACTCATAAGACAAAAAAAAAAAAAAAAAAAAAAGGCACATTTTGTGAATTTAAGCAAAATACAAAACAAAGAGGATTCCAAATCCACCCTTCTAGGGAGCTCTGGTGGCAAAGTGCCAAAGGCATTGACTGTTAACCAGAAAGGTGGCAGTACAAACTCACCAGCCATTCCTCAGAAGGAAGACTGGGCAATCTACTTCCATATACATACCACCCCGGAAACCCAAGGAGGAGTTGCTATGAGTTAGAACCTGTGATAGTTGGAGCTGTGTGTCAACTTGGTTGGACCACAATTCTGTGTGGTTTAAGCAATTGTGATGTGGTTATTCCCATGATGGGATCAGATGAATATGTTTGAGCAGCCAATCCACTGAAAGGAAGTTTCCCTGGGGGTGTGGCCTGCTTCCAGTATGTTTATGGACATCCTGGGAAAAGAGATACTCTTCTGTGGATCAGGATTCTCTTGTGCTGCCTACAACAATCCATAAGCGAACAATCCACTATTCAGCCTGGAGATCTTGGATTTGTCATTTGTTGGAGTCAACAGCCAGTATACCGCCTGCCAACCTTGAGCTCCTCAGCCCCTGCAGCTGCGTGAATCGGGAAGAGCCTCCAGCTTGACGTTTGATCCAAGAACTTTGGACTTGCCAGTTTCTATAAGTGTGTGAGCCATTTTCCTAAGATAAATTTCTCTTTCTCTCTATATATAAGCTTTACTGGTTTTGTTTCTCTAGACAACCCAGTCTAACACAAAACCGAATCAATGGTAGTATGTTTTGTTTTTTTTACCTCTACTGTAAGATTCTGGGGATATGATTCAGCAAACTACATTCCCCATATTTATTTTTATCACCAAACTGGCTGAAGTAGTGGAATATTAGGAGCTACTTGGTAGGGACAAGGGACATTCTTTTCCTCATGCCAAAGCTTCAACATTTTGCCTTTAAAGCATAAGCTCATCCCAGCATTTGCAGTTTATTCTAGTAGCAATGGTTCGTCAACTCCAGCTTCTTCTGGTGCTATCAGAATCAACCTAATCAGGGCCTCCCAAAAGTCACATGAGCTGAAGTCGGTGCTCCTTTTTACAGAAGTCTAAATGCCATATATATAT